GAGACCGTAAAAAAATTTGATAAATACTTGATGATTCTCTTTGGCGTAAAATTATACTTTAGTTTAGGAGTGTTAGCGATACTTAGAAAATTAATTTGAAATATGCAACAACGCGCGGTATCATAAAGCGGCCCCCGAACTATACAAATTTACCCCTAGTAATTTCTATTAATTTTTAGTCGAGAGTACGAGCACTGCACTTTAATTACTGCTTTATCGCTGTGTCTCCGTCGTAACGCTGAAGATCACTTCGACATGAATAATAAACGTACAATTAAGGTACATTATTATTGAACGATCGCGTCGATGTTTCGTAGATATATCTCTCTCGCGAGTTAGAAGTTGGAGAGAAAAAATGTTTTATACAATTCCGGGCGTTCTCGTTTTCCATCATTTATATAGAAATGTCAAGTTGTAGAAGAGTCATTTATTCTCATAGAGCTATAACAGTAGAGTAATCATTAGGTAAAGCAAGACGGACGCGCACGGCAAAAAATCGACTAGGTCTCTCTCTCTCTTTCACGGTGCAGTGTAGAAGTTGGCAAAATGAAAAAAAAAAAAAGAAAACTCTCGTTATACGCTACGTCTACATCCATCGAAAAAGTCTAGTACCCCCAGTGCTTATACACGTCGAGATTCATCGGTTTGAGTGCGTATATGTTCGCGTGTACGCTGCACACACACACACACACACACACACACACACACATACATGCACACGTAGATGTATGCCATGTACATGGCAAGTTGCATGTGTAGGAGCTCAAAAAGTCGTTGCTCCGCTGGAGCACAAGTGATTAATGGTAAAATCGCCAGTTGAGAATTCAAGTACAGAGGCAAGGATAGGTATAATTAAATTTTTTACTTTTCCTAGCTCAACATTCAACTCAATTCCCGTTTTTCGCTTGCCAAACTTTTATATACTTCTCTATTTCATCCCAGTTTCCTTTCTTCGGGAGAGGGATGAGAAAGAGAGAGAAAAGGAGTACATAGATAGGAGAGGAACCAAGAGAGGGTAGAAGAAGAAGCACAAAGCGAAGAAAAAAAGAAGCAGGAGTAGATCGAATGTAGGTAGTAGACGAATTGTCGCTTAACAACACACAGAGACACAGCTGCATTACACGCGCACAGCCCCGTGGCACATTTTGCCACAGTAATGCCGTGTCTTTACACGCTGTGTATAGTTACATCTGGAGCAAAAAGTTTTTTGACTTGGAACTTTTTGTATTTTTCTTCTTCCTTCTCGTTTTTTTTGTGCGTCTCTCATCTTTCACGTTTTTTTTGCCGCTACGCAGCGAGCTCTCAGTTATTTGCAAAGTTTATCGAGCCGTTAATCAAGTGGGTCTCTCTCTCTCTCTGCTCTACGCTTCTTAAACATCTATATCAAGTCCATGAATTGACATAATAAAGTTGAAACGTTGTAGTATGCGACTAGACGAGATAATTTATGAATTGCTCTTGCCACGTCTAAACTCGAGTATTATTTGGATCTAGACTCTGGGTGCACCAAGTTCTTATTAGTATATCTTCCGTAATAGAAATGCTCAAAACATTTTATGACTAGTTTTTTTAGCTAAAGAAAAGATTTCTTGAATTTAAAAGGGTCAATAGAAATGGGTATGTACTAACCAAAATGATACTTATTTGTAATGTAGTGCATTTGAGGTGTTAAATGAGAATAAAATTGAATTTGTTACTTTGATTTTATATCATTATCATTATAAGAAATTTTCTATGACGATTAGTTATCGTTAATTAGTTATAGTTAATTATAAGATTATTAGTTAATCGGTATTGAACTCATGCTTCAACTTATACGTTTAGTTTTTTTTACTTATACTTATACATATATTATTTGTACTTTGTCACTTACAGATTTAAAGACATAAAGGTACACGCCATCTAGAGGCGAAAGCTCAAAATATTATTGTCGAATTTAATGTGTTTGAAAACTCATCTAGATTTTTTAACACTATGAAATTGTCATTTTGAAAGCTAATTAACGGTAGTGTATTTCTGAATATTTTCAAATGTTCATTTTTTCACAACACAAAATTCAACTATTTATCAAGCAGTTTTATCGGTCAGTCAATGAGCACTATGTAGCTTTATTTGTAAATAAAACATAAAAAATTCACGAAAAATAAAGGAAAAGCCGTGTTATTTCAAAGTGCCTGCCAAAATGAACCGACTGATAAACTATTTATATAAATCATTTATAAGCTCTAACCTCGTCTCGAATAGCTACATTTACTGCCTTTTTCGTCTATCGGCTCTCTTTCTCTCTCTCTCTCTCTCACTCTTGCCCATAAAATCGATAAGTTTGCTTGACTCGTGCGGATCAGTCTGCATCCGGAACGCACCGTGACGCGGGTGCGCGAATGAAAAATCAACAACTTTATATAAAGTAAGAAAATAAGAAGTATATGGTAGTGGTCAGCTATACTGCAGCATCGGTGGAAAACGAGGGTCTCGTCGTTCCGCAGTTTTGCATATATACGTATAATACGGACAATGGTATTATGAAGTGCACAAAGTGTGTGCCGCGCGAGCTAACACGGTTGTACGTAATATTCCCCGGCAACTGAGCGTCGAAGCGTAGAGCAGCAGTAGTAGTAGTAGTCGAGTGTACGTATTATATATCGAGTAGCAGCAGCGCATCGTTCCGCAGTCACCTAACGCAAAGTTACAATTGAGTTTACAAATCCAAATTCGATAGTAATTTTGATCAGACAAATCCGATGCTATTCTAGCGGAGTGCATAACTCCTCTCTCTCTGGCTCTTTCTCTCTTTCTCTCTCTCCCTCTGTAGAAACAAGTTTTCAGCTGAGGTAAACTGATCTCAAATCCTGCGGGCCCTCGTACAGCTTTGCGGCTACGTTATATGCTTCGTGGAATGTCGTATACCTCGCGGCGCCTCTGTGTGCATGTGTATGTGTGTGTCTGTGTGTGTTCGCGTGACTCGCCGTTCGTTAACGCGTTATTAGTTGGGAGAAAAAAAATGCTTATGCGCGAGTGTTGGGATGAATAAAAAAAGCTCTTCGTTCGCGATTTAGCATTGATAGTTTCGTATAAAAAAATAAGATAAAACCTGAAATGACTGAGTGCACAGAATTACTCATTTTTTCCTCTGTGATTATTCAAATAGCAGATGAGCAATTTAACTAAGTTTTTTCGTTGGCTTATTTTAAAAGTTCATCTGACACTGTGAAGCTGTTGAATTTTTTTTTGTGCTTATAAAGACAAAACTTAAAGGCGTACAGTAGAGCATTAATCTAACTTATAAAAAAGAGATGGACCTAAAAGTGAAGCCAATCTATTCGGCCTCTGATTGGTCGACTGACTTTTGACTCGAGTCGAAACGTAATAAAGTGACATCTACGGTCAAAATAGCAACTTTTTCGAAACTGACTGAAAGATGTACGCGCGCGAAGCGCGCCTGAAAGTCACTATAACCTCAAAAAACGAGTGAAAAAATTAACACGAGCGGAGCGCGTTTGAAACATACTAGTGTAGTATATTTCTAGAATGAAGTTTACATCATTTTACCCTTGCGAAGGCAGTGTACACTATAGTCGTGCTAAGTTATCCATACTGAATTTTATGTAAGGTAGTTTTACATACAATTTTTAATAATTAATTGAAAATTAATATATTTATACTGGCTTAGTTTTTGCGCTAATTGCACGAAAAATGTATGGCAATACAATTGTAATAAAAGTTAGTCTTCGCCGATAGATGGCGTATACCTTTATCTGAAAATCTGCAAGTGTCAAAGCAAAAATATTTGTATATAAGTCGAATTCAAATTCATAAAGTCAGTGTAATAGATATTTTACGCAACAAATGTAGAATTGACAAAAACTCAATGAAAATGAATCTGATATGATTTATGAAATCTTAACATTTAATTTGAATCGCATCGATTTTATTGCTTTTAAAACACGAAATTAAATTTTTCTACGGGAAGGTTAATTATTCAAAGTAAATATAATCAACAGTAATATACTCGAATCATGCAACATATTTTGACCTGTAACGCTTCACCTGGCATGCCTACACACACACGTATATATACGCCATATTCGAATGTCGAACATTTGATTATCTATCAAACACTCGTAGCCGCAATAACATTCATTGAGTGAAGATGTAGACGCATATATACACACACCTCGTACGAGCTCATAGATCTACTGAGTAGATCTCTCCCCCCAATATATATACGTGATATAGTCTCGATTTGTGCGTGTGCTAGAGGCATCGATTTGGCACATTGCACATTCATGCTGTATACACATCAAAGTGAAGCACTACTGCTAACTACGTGTGGCATATATAAGAGATCGAGAGAGAGAGAGAGAGAGGTAGAGATATTCAAAGACACACAGCCCCGCGTGTATAGAGGCCCTTGATCAGTGACTTGCATTGACGTGAAAGCTCTTGAAAACGTAAGCTGTAAGCCTTCGGGTCGTCGTCGTCGTGCAGCTGCTGCAATCCCTTGTTTTAACAAAGAAAGCAGGCATATTCAACCCGTTGCATAATATGCCGTTTTCACTGCCTCGGCGCAATTCAAAAAACGAGAATAAATGAAGACCTTAGGTACATCGCTGTATTTTCATTTAGGAAAATTGTGCACATTTTCCTACGATTATTAATTCGTCGCTAATGACTAATGAGCTCCATGTAATCCCAATGTGGATATTTGTTTTTACACATATAAACACTTTGTGCCAGGCAGAATTGGGTTTCGAATGTCAATAATGCACAAACATACATCGACGCGCACACAGGTACACCTATCTATATATTATAAGCCCTAATCAATACAAATCCTCTTGCTTTGATCTGTCAAAGTCACCACAGAGAAAGATCAGAGAACACACACTACACTATACCCCGAATATTAGCTTAAATTTTTATCATTCAATCATAATTGTAATAAATTAAAGCTTATAACTACAATAACGAGGCCTTTTTTATGCTTCATGTGTTCACAGGTGAGCATCCAGCGGCCATGCAGCACGGCAACTCGAGCAATAGCGGCGCGGCGACGCGCACCTTGGCCCTGCTGCTGATAATCCTGCACGCGGGCTCGTTCACGAGGTGACTGCTAAACAACGATAGTCGACCGCCGTCGTTGTCGTCGTCATTTTTGTAACTTGCTGCGGCAGAATTTCCCGCGGGGAAGACGCAACTGACTCCGCCGCGACTCGGTTCGGTCGCGAGCAAGAATGAAAATATACACCTTCTCTCGAAGCTGCATGGCGTTCAACGAAAAATGAACGAATCGCTGCCACGCAACCACCGATATACTTAATCTAGTTTATTCCTCCTCGCCCTCCCCTCCCACGTGTACATTGAAAAACGTATTTTATGCAAGAAAAAAAAAAATAAAAATAAAAATAACGAGTAAAACTTACGAAAATATAATTGATACGATGGTAAATGTTTTTTGAAGAACGCTCGAATTTCCTACTGGTTTACTTTTTCGTTTACATGCGTCGTGATTAAGCTGCAGCATATATATACGTGATTCTTGCGAAGTAAAATTGTAAAAAAAACATTTACGAATCGATGATTTTATACCCACACATGATACCATGACACGTAGTGCGAGAATCGAACATGTACCGTCGCGTCAACCGTGATATTGAGAGATCATTTCTTTAATTTTTTCATGGTTAACATGAAATTTTGTAAAAACAATATATAATGAAGATTAATGTATTAATTATAATTTTCCTAAATTATCTATACTTTTCTAGACAATATTACGGTTAACATGACACAGACCATATATAATATAAAATATTTACTTATGTACGCAGAGTAGTTGAAAGTTCAAAACAGAGAGATATAATATGTGTCTGAGACTTGAGAATTTTTAGTTCAAATCGTTAAAATATTTTATCATTCTTTTTTTTTAATTATAGTTCATTCGTGTGCAAAAACAAAGAAGTAATTTATTAAGTCGTAAATAGATCGGATATTCGACTGACAAAAATCAACAACTTTTTTTCTGGAATGACTTTTTCTCCTCTCTTTTTTTTTCAAGTACAGCTGTATACATGAAATAAATGTATATAATTGCGCAAACATTTCTCAATTGTTATGTTCTCCTTTGATTGTGCTCTGTCGTTAATTGTAAAAGTTGTAAAGCTTTGTGAATGAGATTGTGGAAGAGTTTAAGTGTGGCACGTCAATCGGAAGTGAAATACCGCACGAGTTAATTTACATAAAATAAATAGTCCAACGCGATTATAAAACAACAAAATCATTTGATTTATTCGACCGAAATCGAAATGTCTTCTTTCATGGTTTTGCTGATGAAGAGTAAATTTAACGTTGAGTATTTGGGCAAATCTCTAGAACATAAATTGATAATTCCCGGACGAAGCACGAAGCTTTGTAGAGGCGAACTGAAAGCATGAGTAATAACAAAAGTAATCATTTCTCCAATCAGTACACGAGTTACAGCGAAATATTAATTATAATTGCAGCAAATTTTGATTTCATACATACTGCGACGTAAATAAGTGAAAGATTCACTAATCATACTTTTTCTTTTAGCAATGAAATGACTAATTGAAGAATTATTTAGGTCGTACTTTTTGATTAGCGATACAGCTTTTCCTTTATTGGAGTTGAGCTTATAAAAAAACTGCTGCATATACAATGGCTTCATTTTTGCTGATTCTGTAATTCGATGGTTTCAAATCTAATGAAATTTTGTTATTGCATTTTTTTCATAGTAGAATGGTACAAAAGATTGGAAAATGTCTCATTCTTATTTATAAGGTGAAAAGATTTTACGATGTCTCTGAAGCTTGTGTGTTTGCATTTGAAGAAATATAGAGCATGAATTAAATTTTAAAAAATGTAAAAGAACAAAAAACCTTTGAAATCTTAAAAGAATTTCTCATCTTTAATTTAAATCAAAAGTGTTTAAATATTTATTATAGTAAGATAAAATTGATCAAGATAATTGAAAATTATTCTAAAGTTTCCACATTCTAGAGATTTGCCTGTTTCGATATTACGCCCTTTTAAAAATAATCAAGTTTTAAGATTGAATTTTATGGGAACAGTCTTTGAGAACGTTGTTTTCAATAATCGAATCCATTTGCTCTTAAAAAATTGATGCGAAAACAAATATTCACGAGACAAATATGACTTTAAAAATGTTCATATTTCTATTTCGTATTTGCAAAGTTTACTGTAAGCTCATTTTAGACCAGGATTTACGAGAATTTCGTTGAGATATTTTTTTTTTCATGCAACTGTAAAAATATTTTATCAAAAATGCACGATTTCGCGAAAATTATTGCTGCACACTGCGTAACGAAGCCATTTTTGATCGTCAACATATCGTCTGTAGATTTCGCGGATTATACGGGTGCTGTTAAAATGAATGTATAGGTTACAAGCGTTGATATAAAAACAGGAATTTATAAATAATAATATATAAGTATACGGAGTAAATGATGTGTGTACTATACAAATAAAGCAGAAAATTATCAATTAAATATTGTCTTGTATATATAATTGTAAAAACTATTTACATACAATTAAGTTAGCAGATAGGATACCTCATTAACTCAAAAATGTATCGTTTGAAAAGGTTAAAGTAAAGTGTAAATATAACCCAAAGCTGTAATCGACTGTGGCTCTGTTTCACGCAAAGCCACACATAATATATTGTAGTTACACGTCAGTAGAATTGCCTCTATGAAAAAATATATTATCTTTGATGAAAATAAAATTAATTTAACGAAAATGATCAGGCAATTGTATTATTAACACAAAACTGCTAAATCATCAATTTATTAATGATCAATACTTTATTTGCATTAGCTATGTTTAATTGTTTAATTATGTTCAGTTATTTATAAACGTTTTTGATTTGATTTTTCTAAATCCTAGTTAGTTGTCAAATGATATTTTGGAATTTGTTTAAATCAAATCAATACCAAATTGAGTCATTATTCGTAAAAAAAAGAATGCATAAAATAATCAAGCTACTTGGATTTGCTGCGTATCGTTGTTAAACCTCTATAAAGCTCACGTTCTATATACCACTGCAGCATCGACGAGAAGGTTAGAAAGCCGGACGGCTTAGACAAAGCAGACATCGGAAATACCTCTCGCGCTGCCATGCTTTTCTTACGTAGCGCGCACAATCTAATGAGAAGATTAAGTCTGAGAAGATAAGTTTATCGAAGTGTTCGCCGGAAGAAAATCCGTTTCAAGGAGCAGCGTAACGATACAGCGGCTGCGTGACGCTTCTCTCGGGATGTAAGCTTTTAATGAATCGATACTTGCCATTAATATCAGAGAGAGAGACCAATCTGTCAATCCGTCACAAAGCCGAGAGGTAGTTGAAGGTTCACTACTAATTGTAGCTAATTATTTGAGTACATTAGTGTCAAACGATTCAAAATATAACCCTGTAAAAAAACGGTATTTCTCTCGCTCCTTCAGTTCGTGGATGATCGCATTTAAAATCGCTGTAGAATCTACTAGAGTTTGGAAAAAAGGACAATTTAGCCTATTTTGGCTAATTAATAACAATATCAGGATATGAGTTTTAAAATATTTTTAAAGGAAGAACTTCAAACGAGAACCAATCAAGAATTCTCTGGATTTCTTCAAGTGTTGCTTTTTGAAGCGTTTTTCAGTATTTTTTTTCTGTTACTATCAAGTTTATCGTAACAAATTACTTGCACGTAATGAAATTGTAATGACGTCTTAATTAAAAAAATTGTTCTACTAAAATGAATTATTCATTGGAAATAATTTAAATTGTTCTAAGATTTGCTTTCTCCTAGATGAAGCTCTACGATAGGCTCGAAAAAAAGTTTTAAAGCAGGCGTGGTAGAAAAATTTGGTTAATATATTTGTAAAATAGATTTTTTTATTTGACTGATGGCTATAGTTTTCATCGCGTACTTTTCGTTTGTGGCTTGGGTTACTTTGAGTGCCTTGCATAACATATTTCTTCAAGGCTACAATTAAAGAGTGTTCGAACACAACTAATTGAAAAAATTTGATGACTAAAGTTTTGTTACAACCGCCAGTAACGCGTTGCCATGCCTGTACGAATTCATACATTTTAATGGCAAATTTATTCTATAGACTTGAGTCTAAATTTCCTGTTGACAGTTTAAAAAAATTAATATTAACAGAATAAGTTTGTGGTCAAATACTTGATATGTCACTGAGTTAAATTTTTTATTCTAAAGGCAAGAACATTATAGTGTTGTGTAAAACCCTGCAAACAAATAATCGATCAAAAAATATAAAATAATAAGATAACAATGAAATTGTTAGCAGCATATCCATATCCATGTGAACTGACACCAGGACCAGGTGCAACTCTTAAAATAAATTACGAAAGTTATAGTGCAGTTAGTATAAATCAGTTCTACAGAATGAAACTAGTTTTCATGCAATCATAATTTACAAATCAATAATAATTAAGCAAAGGAGGAAAAACGTTTCACTAAAATTTCTAAATAAATTGTGTTTCAAGTTATTTTTCAATAATAACACCTGCATGTACTTTTGAACTTTTTATCGTAAGCTTTCATAACATAAAGTGAGCAAAAAAATTATCGCAACAAAAATTTTATTTAGATTTTTCTTTTTTTGATTTCTTGGAAACTTTGTCTGTTTTAAAGCCATATTTATTATAAATAGGTACGAGTCAATATCAAGTTACAAGTAATATTTGAGCACAACATTATAAATAACTAAAAAATCTAATGTTAAACGTGTTTATGGACTGCAGTAAATTGTTTATCGAAATCTTACAAAAAACATCGCCAAGTTCTCTTTTCAAAGAGTAACTTAAAAAATAGAGCTCTCTACGATTATTTTTGTGCCCTGTAGGTCGTTTTAAAGTTACCATTTAGAGTACGTAAAATACCTCGTTTAGCTGAATCGACTCAAATTTTTGGATATTTTGCGTAACCGAGCACTCGGTTCTGCACAGTGATTACAGTAACTGTTACCTTATTTCATTGAACATTAAGATATTTTTCGTTTGCCAAGTAAACTTTGAAATCACTCGAAAAATTCGAGTGATTTAAATTTTGGATATAAAAAATTATTAAGAAAAATTATATGAACAATTTTAAAATAAGAGATGAAGAGTCAGGAAATGTAAAGCAAAGTAGTAACCCAATTATTAAAAAAATAAATTTCCGATGGGACAACACATACGAATCAATCTAATTTTATCTAATATAATCAGTGAGTAATGGAACACAATTGATTTGAAAAATTTAATAATTAAAGTATTGTAACAACCGATAGAAACGCGTTACTATGCGTACCCGAATGCATAAATTTTAATGATTCTTTTCCATAGAATCAGATCTAGATGAGAGCTTACATTTTCTGTAGATAGTTTTAAATATATAAATATTGAAAATATACGTTTGTGGTCAACTGCTTGAAATGTCATGGGGTTGAATTTTTCATCCTGCAGGACTGAGCATTATAGATCAGTTTAAAAACTTGCTAATAAAATATTCTCGGATGAAATAAACAATCGTACGATTGAAAATGATTCGATAGCAATGAAATTATTAAAAACAACAAAAAAAATAATTAGCTATTAAGTCATTTTAAATGATAAACGCAATAAAAGCTTGGCACGTGAAAGTCGAATTTCTCTCCTCTTCCATAAGAGGACGTCTCGCCCATAAGAGCCTATGTTAAATGCTGAGCATACGCCGCCATCTTTGACGAAAAACGAGCGCTGCTTCGGATCCCAATATATATAAAGTTCGACGAACAATAGTTGTACAATTTTGAAACAATATATTATACGCTTGATTTTGCAATTATTTTATTTGACTGGATTTTTGGGCTGGAATTTACATCAGAATATAGTGTCTCAAAGTTAAGCAAAATTTTCAAACAGAAAAATTAAGCTGAATCCCAGCCTAAAAATCCTTTCAAACAAGTTTGAAAATCTAGCTGAAAATCCAGCTGGAATAGAGCTTGAATGAAAGTGATTTTAACTAAATTCCAACTGGAAGACAGCTTAAATTGAAGCGATTTCAACTGAATTTCAGCTGGAATTCCGATTCAAATCTAGCTAGAATTTTTAATGGAGTTATTTAATTTCTAAAATTCTAGTTACTTTGCAAAAGTGTCAAATATTTTGCGAAAAATACTAATGCTACAATATTCTTATATTTTAATAGGTTTGATTTATACTGGCTCAATGGTATTAAATTCAATAAATTTCATTAAAAATTAATTATTGAATATTCATATTGATAATATCCTTTTTTAAGATTTTATTCGCCAAAAAAGTTAATAATTTATTCTTGCTTCTGGAAATGACTACCAAAAGATTAAATGATTACCAAAAAAAATCAGGCACCTCACTTATCGTCTTTGTTGATGATTCGTACTTTCCAATGCTTGATTGGCTTCGCGCGCGCACGTTATTTTGACTTTCGAAAGTAGAAAATTCTTTTCAAGCTTTTTGCTTTCGTTAATGTCGCGTTTGGTTGGTAAGTCCACGGAGAGCTTCAAAAACGAAAAATTGAATTTACCGCTCTCGCCCGCCTTCGTGCTTGCTTGAATCATTGTGTTGCACAATTCCCATCGCGAATCAAAAAAAGCTTATGTCTTTTTTCTCGTACAGTCGATCATTCAGTTTATCTTCGTTATGCACAGTCTATCTGCATAAGATCGAATTGTGGCAAGGTGTATGATGCCTATGGACGCAACAGAAACTTGTTTCGAAAAATTACGTCGACGCATTTGCATCGCAATAGCGAAGAACGCCAAGAAAAATGCAATAGCATTTGTAATGGTAGCATTTAATGCATTTCTTATCAATCATCATGGCCAACTTTTAGCTGATGTTAGTTGACATTTTTTATAAAAGGTAAATTCCTTGTGTTTCG